TGCCAACATCTACGAAAGAAAGAACCAGGCCATGGAGCGCCATGCGTCATTTATGCACAGATGGTTCCGATTTTAATGCCATTATTGGAATTTATGATGTGATCTGTGCGCACAACCCACCTTTGTCATGTGAGGTTTAAATAAAAAAAATAAATGCAACTTTATATGAGTGTCTTTATTTTTGGAAAAGGATGTTTGTCTTACCAGTGGGTCCAACATTACACACACCAAATCCATCTGTGCTTGTATGAGACAGTGTGGAGGACGCCCAATGCAGCGCTTACAGCGACACTTGTTGAGGGGCTGCCTTCCGTCGCCATCATGTGGCATTGCTGTCTTCAGACATCTCTTGATCTCTTTGACTACTGCACGAAAATTGTTATACACCTCGTCGGTGGCTGATTTAAAGGCGAGAAGAGGAGCTTATGTGATTGGTGAAAACAGGTCTCGGCTGTGTTAAACCCACTCCACGCCCTCTCTCCTCCCTCGCTACGACTTACGCTGCTGGGAGGAGCTGAGTTAGGGAGGGGGGATACTTACGCCGGGCTGCGCCACTCACCAAAATACCAAATGGTGCTTGGGAACGCCTTGTCGACGTGGCGGACCTGATTTACACTGCGCCTTCACCACGTCGCCGGCGAGGCACGAAAATAGAGCCCTTGGTTGAGTTTTCTCCCAAGTAAACCCCACAACCTGCAACCTACAACAGTTTTTGCATCGCTGCAGTGGCTCTCCGTCCGTCTCAGGATTGATTTTAGGGTTCTTTTATTAGTTTTTAGATGTATTAACGGTCTTGGCCACTCCTATTTATCTGACTTACTTTTATTACATCAACCCTCGCGGACCCTGAGGTCCTCAGGCACAGGCCTTTTAACCTTACCCAAAGTTAAAACAAAAACACACGGGGAGGCGGCTTTTAGTTTCTATGGCCCCCAGTTGTGGAACAGCCTGCCAGAGAGCCTCAGGGCTGCAGAGACTGTTGATGTTTTTAAGAAGAGGCTCAAGACTCATCTTTTTAACCAGGCTTTTTACTAATTGCCTTTTTATATTTCTCTTATTGCAAATGTTCATTTTAATTAAAGTTCTTACTGTTTATTTTATGTCATTTTATTAATTATCTCTGTTCTTAGTCTTTTTTTTAAAATTCCCATCACAGGTTTTTACTTCTTTTACCGCCTTTTTATATGGTGAAGAGCTCTTACTTACAGTATATTCTTTGATCAAGATTTTTGGGGCTGATCACAAATCACCCAAAGCACTATCTGCCAATCCCGATATTGCTAATCACAGTGTCAAATCCATGCATTTTTCAATTCTGTTGCGTAACTTTCATATATTTAATTAGGTTTAGGTTGGGGACTCCGAATATTGATCAGTTGCCGATCAATCCCTGCAGATACTGTTGTGAGCCAGTTTCCGGCAGCCAAGGAGGCTGATATCAGAAAACCCATCAACAGTAGAATCTGTGAGCTAATGCGGCAACTGAAGCGCAAAAGCTGGTGAAGTTATGTCAGACAAGCTACTTTTATTTCATTTTTTTCTTTCATTCTGCACAAAGGACTGATCTTTTGGCATTGTATTTATTTGCTTTCAATGGTTCCTGAAGGTCTTTGTTAGTTTGTGTTAAAAAAATGAAAAGGTCTTAGGTGTTTAAAATAGATAATGTTTATTGTAAGTGCCAATTGACTCTACATTTTGTTAATATTATTTACTCAATATTACTCAAATTCATCCAACAATGAAAATTCTGGAGGGCTGGTATTTGTTTATTTTTTTGTACATTTCGTTTGTAAATATTTTATTGATATTTTATTTGTATTTTATAACAACAGTGCTGAAAGTTTTGAAGAAATGCTTAAAAAAGGTTGCACTGCTGATGTCACATATAGGTTTGTTTAATTGTTTATTAGGATCTCTTTTAGCACTATCAGGCTATTATTTCAAGAGTTAAAATTTTGGTGTTAGTGTCAAGGTTTGTGTTGGTGCACAATGGATCATATTGATTAGATGATTAGATTCAGTCATGTAGATGCCAATGAATTGAAAGGGTTGTTTTAATCAACAGTTTGTTTTATTTAGCATCAGTACAGAACTAAAATGACGGCTAGAGGGGAACTCAATCAATTCACCTTTATGTAATGGGAGCATTGGAATAACATCTTACAGTAACTGAAAAGTGACTTTCTCAGTAACGCATTACTTTTTGGTTTGAGTAACTGAGTTATTAACTGAGTTACTTTTCTTTCAAAGTAACTAATAATTGTAACTAGTTACTATTTTTCAGTAACTAGCACAACACTGTGGATAAATAGAAATTAATCATTCAACCACTGGAAAAAGTAAATAAGTTCTAATTACTTAATTTGATTAACATTTTCTGCATTGGCTCTAATGGCCAAAAGGTACAACTAACTTGTTTATAATAAGTGTCCATAACAAGTTACCTAAAATTGAGTAAATTCAACACAGTTTTGTTGTTGCTTGTGTCCAGTGTATCAGGCCTGCATCTAAGAAATAAAACATGGTGATGTTGCTCAAGCACTAAGAAACACAGACTCCACAGTGATGATTCTGTTCCATGACTGCTACTAAATATTGGCAATTTCAAAATTTGACTGCAAACATACACAAAAGCATTAAATGCCCACATTAACTTCATGATTTTCTTACCAGGGGGATTAGCGTTAACATGGATGTACAGCCATGGCTCTTTTTTTATGCTTTGGATAAGGTTTTTCCAAATACTCACTGATAGTCAAAATAGTAAATCTAAAATACAAAAAAGTATAAATAAATATACGAGAAAGTGTTAAATGTATGTTGCTCAGTGTTCTGACTCAGTGGCCTGATGGGACCCTAAATGGCTTCACTCTGTTCACCAGTGTAGGTGGTATACATTTGGAGACTGGATCAGTGTGGATCAACCCTGCTAACATAACTGCATGCAGGCGGAGCCCTCCAGGGGCCTGATCAAGAAAACGATTTGTGCACAAAGTGCAGATTTGTGTACAGCTTTATTTTCTTTGCCTCTGTTCTCTGGGGCTCCTTTCTCCAGAGGTCTAACCCATCCAGAGGAGACAAGGTTACCCGCTGAAGCTTGATAGAGCTTTGAGGACTTGAATGTGTAAATGTACACAAAGGTCTACCAGTAATTCATTACTGAGACCCAGTGTGTTTGTCTTCACGCACAAACACACTCATATCAGTCTCTGAATCATCTGCAGGCCTCAAGTTATTGACAAAGCTGCATGCAGAGTTATTTGATCATAAAGATGTAAAACAAACACGAAGTAAAATGAGAGTCTTGACAGTTTCCAGCAAATCTGCCCTGCTGATGACGTAAAAACTGTTACAGAAGCTCAACTATGACTGAAACTCTGTCTGTATTGAGTTTGGCACACCCAATGGATGAAGTGATGTCATATATTGTAGCTTATTTTCTCTACTCTTTGAGACAGCACTTCTTAATGACCAAAATCTCCTCCTGTTGTTTTTTTTGTGGTGAAATTTATGAATCCCTGAGATTATTTGGCTTCGGGAAAGTAACAAAGGCTGTTTCTTCAGTGTAATCCCCCTATCAGCAGTTTTAGGCATTAAAATTTACTGTAAAGTAATTGTCTGTCTTGTCAGTAATGACAATGAAAATCTCAAAGCAAGCCTTCACCACTCAAAGCACTGCCTCCATCAAGCTTATTGTTTGACAGAAAACAGCCAGAAATCACAGCTTAAACTTCACCCTTCTCACAAAACTGCTGCACAAAGACTCTCAGTGTTGTTTTTTAGGGTTATTTACAACAAACTCTAAAACAACTGTTTACTTTTAACCCATATTTGAGATTTTTGTGTCTTTAATAAAAAATCTGAGGTTTTGTTCTCCATCTGATTTTCTGATTTTCCTTCTTGGTCAGAGACTTTGTTATAAAGCTCATCAGACTGAGTCATCTGAGGCCCGGTGACAGCTGTGTCCTCTCAGACAAACTCCTCCTTCAGCTTGGATCGATACTCTCCTGAAAAGCCAGGACACCTTCCATGAGCTGCAGGGCCCCTGACATATTACTATGAGGGCTTTAATGTCTTTGCACGTGCAACTCACTCAAATGCAACATGTTTGTCTACATTCAAGGGTGAGTGTGCCTCCAAGGCATGTTTCAACATGATTAATTACAGCACATAAACACTTGATTTTACACCCAGATATAGGGTCCATGAGTCATAAGTAGCCACATGATATTTCAAAAATCAATTCAATTCAATTGTTTTCAGCATTTGAAGCCTCTCTCGAGTTACCACAGTAAGACTGTTTTTATGGTATGTTCATCCTTATAAGGAGTTGGTTCTCACAGTTTTTGCTCTTCAGTCTTGCTCATCTTGGGGTGAAGACCAAGCCCGCAATGCTGAATAGCGTTTCATATGCTGCGGATGCAGGTATGGGGATGTTCAGCTTCACAGACAGTGCACATACAGCTGGGTAGGATTTCAGCAAGGCTATGTGGTCTGCTGAATGGGTAAGGTAGGCATCCAGCTGTTTGGAGCCAGCTTGTGCATGAGATGTCTTCAGGGTTGAGAGCAGAGATGGACAGAGTACTTGACCCCAGTACTTGAGTAAGAGTACAAATACTCCTGGTCAAAATTTACTCTGCTACAAGTAAGAGTAGCTTAGTCAATACGTTACTCGAGTAAGAGTAAGAAAGTATTTGCTTTTAAATGTACTTAAGTATTCAAGAGTAAATGCTTTTAAATGTACTTAAAGTAAAAGTAAGAGTAAGGGTAAATTCCTATTTTTTCACATGAATTACTTTCATTTTATAATTTTATTTATAGTACCTTGTAACTCTTGTTTCAGAGAATTATCTCTTTGAAACCACCTGCACTGATGTGCTTGCCTGTAGAACCATTATGTTTTACTGTACCAAGCCTGCATAAACATCTATAAAAATGGAAATAAAATGAATGGGATCATCAAAGAGGACAATGATGTCATTTTCACATTTTATTAAACTTTACTTTTTCTTGTCTGTGTCCGCGTTTTTCTTATTTACTCCTGCAAACTCGAACATAGCCTTCAGATGAGGGCATGGGTTTTCTTCAGGTTCCTCTGCCTCATTTAACTCCGGCTCATCATGTTCAGACTCTGAGCCTGAGGATTCATCGTAGCGTTCTTCTCCTGCCGCCGCCATTGCCACCACAGTCTTGTTTTGAGCTGATAAACAAGAGAGCGTGTTTTTCCACTTTTACGTACATCCAAGTGGAGAACGTGTACTGTGATAGGTTTCCTTCTTTGACAAACACTGCGTGTGGCCAATTGCGTTTTAGGGAAAGAAAAAAAAAAAAACTATGAACCTAAAAGTAAAGAGCCCTCATGAGCCTTCTTAGAAATTTACTTGAGTAAGAGTAAAAATCTTTACCTTGGAAATGTATTCAAGTAAGAGTAATAAGAATAAACGAATTCTAGTTTTTGAGTAAAGTACAAATCCTCAGAATCTGTACTTAAGTACAGTACTCAAGTAAATTTACTCCGTTACTGTCCACCACTGGTTGAGAGGAAGTCTTCGTCATCCGATGAAGAGAACCATGAGGGTTCACCTGATGTGGAGTCTTCGATGTGCTGCTTGATGTAGTCCATTCCTGAAATGCAGAAGGAAACTATTGGGATTAATTTAATTTTTTGAACATGTCCCTGTCACAAACAATGTTTTCTATGAAATAATGAGCTCTCTTTTTAAGTTTGGAAATCAAAACTCATTTTTTCCTACTCAATTACTCTGCGCATTAACAGGGTCCCATTTGCTCATATAGTTACCCAAGGGGAAGCAAAAAAAAAAATTAGATTATATAAGGACCAATAAGGGCAACTGTTTTTTACATTACCTTTATCCATACTGAACTGATAACTACATACACTGTTACACTTAATTAGTTCCATGTTGTCTTACCCTTTTTGATGGTGGCTTCCTCCTTGGTCCATGTGGTTCAGAACTTTGGTAGAAGGATTGCTGCTGCAATCAGCTCAGGGTCTCCTGTCATGTGGGCAAAGCAAGTCTTTATCCCCGCCTGTAGGGATGCAAATTGAAGAATCACACTACTACTTATTAAAATACAGAGCCAGGAAAAAAACACTGAACAGTAAGTTAGTGCAATACGAGTAAAACCTTATAATTTAATCCCTTTTGGAGGTATTCAAAGTGAAGATCCAGTAAACCTTACATCTATTTAGCTGTAGATTGTGGTCACCTCATGGTGCCGTAAGTAGTATGCAAGAAATAAAACCGGACATTTAAATCACTTATAATAAGTAGTATAACAGGGTTTTCCCTACATGTAATAGATCGCAGTGCACCGACATGGCAAAATAAAAAAAAATGACTTTAAAAATGCCAACTGTAAGTTACACAGATATCATCCCCGCTGCCCTTACAAGTGAAAGTTACAAGATACACAGTATTAACAAGCTAGTTTAATGTAACATTACATTACAAAAAAACAAACAAAAAAAAACACTTTCCTTGGAAAATAAGACTTACAGTTAATATGAAAGTTATTAAAAGTTAGCCAACCAAACGGCCCGGTGGTCTTACCTTGACGTGTTTCCTGAGGTTGGATGGGAATTTCTGTATGAAAGGATTTGCACTTGCATTGGGGCACACAGCAGACATCTGAATGAATCCTCCTTAACCCCAGCATAGCTAAACAAAGAGTTGAAGTAAGGCCATGGATGTTTGTCGCCCTCTCTTGGCAGGTTTTTTTTTTATTTGTATAATCGATACCTGATGCAGCAGGTGCAGATTAAGTTGTGGGCACAAAAATAAAATAAAAAAACTCCAGTTAAGTACAGATACTTCAAAATTATACTTAAGTACTATGCCTAAGTATTGCTTGGTTACCATACAACACTTGTAATGACAATTTGTTTGCAGTATGGCATGAGTAAACAGCAGTGGGTGAGCGGATTGCTCACATTATGATTTGTCAATAAGCAAATTAACAAATCCAAATTGTGAGTTGGAGTCAGGCTTTTTTTTCAGTTGCAAGACTGGAAAGAAATAAGCAAAGTCTGGCTTCCATAAACAATCATTGTCTTTACAAAAAGGTGCATCCTGCCTCAAGATGCATCAACCTGCCAATGCACTTGGATTAAATTTACAGTAGTAATTTTAGTTGTTTAGCAAATGATCAAAAGACCTACAGAAAAAATTCTTACAGTGTTTTACTGTTTTTGATGGTCTGAGAATGACTCTGCGTGTCCTCCTGAACAGCATTGCACACGATCTTCCTCAGCAGACACATACTTAATTTGTAATCTCTCAGCATGCCCCAGGCCTCTGGCTAACATGGCAGAGTGGGAAATAAATGAAACAGAGGGGAGTGAGCCCAACACTCTACCAGCCCACAGGCCTGCGCACAAATAGCTTTTAACATGGGGATCAATAATGTTAAGTTGTGATTAAATAGATTATTACATTGAAAATTAGCCACCCCAGGGGCTTGAACACATGTTGGTGGAATAACCAAAGAGGGGCTTTAACGCTCCCTTAGTCTTCAGAGGAGAGCAGGGGAGAGGCTGTCTTGAGGTCTGGAGTATTTCAGATTTACAAAGAGACTGATCTTACTGACTAAAAACAACGTTTAGACTTCTTTCAGTGTGAAAAGGAAACTCAAGGTTGCATTGAAGGAGCTGCTCCTTAGGTAAAAACTTAAAGTCTGCTAAAGTTAAAGTGAAATTCATATTCTATTTTACATATTTACATAAACAGTTTATATATTATGTATGTTGGTATCTAAAGTGGTTAAGTAGTAAGGTTGAGTGGGATGTAATGGCTGTGATATAATAACTCGGGCGAATATTCCAATCATAGTACATCCATGAACACAGATAGAAACTGTATAGAGAGGGCCACCAGCCTGGACTGGACTGTACTCTGAACCTTGTGACTGTGTCTAGGCTCCATGTTTATCTTTTGGTTACTTAGCTTGTGCACAAACAGAGGGCAGCTAATACAATTCAAGGACATTAACACCCTGCATGTTGCCAGCAGTAGTGACGTCTGTACAGGTTCAAGGTGAGGCAGCATTAAATCTGCTTTTATAGCCCTTTTGAAACCTGTTTATTCTCATTTAAGAGTTTATTGGAGTGTATTTTCTCTTTCTTTTCATTAACAACTTTATTCTTATTTATTTCTATCTATCTGTTGTCACTTTGTGTACACACTTTATTCATTAGAGTTTCACTAAATCTTTCAACTCTTTTGCTGACAGACCTGCAGGAATAACACAGCTCCTTTTTTTCAAAACTTACATTTGTTTAACAAGGCTAATCCATTTTTGATAGCGCTGCTTATTTTTCAGCTATAATTGTCCCTTTCTTTTCTGTCCTTTGCTGTAAGCGTGTGTTACTGTGTGTGAGAAAAAGAAAGGAGTTATATCTGCAGCCTTTGCCAAATCCATTTGAATTCACCCAGAAGTTCATTTATTAAATCTTTAATGGGTCCTTTTATAATGAGCCTGCTTAGAAAGATCCTAATAGAGATGTGCATTAATGAAACTGTGCTTTCTTTAAAAGCTCATGAATCTCCATTATACTTAACTTTCTAAAGAAAACCTGTTTCCACTGAGTCTGCTGTTTTATTTACATGAAAACGTTAATCCAGTTTAATATGATTTATTCAGCTTCCCCCATCTTCTAACAGGCCCATTATGAAGATACAATGCTGCTGAAGGGCTGAATGAAAGAAATAAAGACACATTTCTGACTATAACAACTAATGAACAAAAGGCCTTTGAATCAGCTGTAACAATAGTTTATAGATAAACAAAATGCAGAATTACAAACCAAAATATCAAACACGTTTGGTGGAGTCAGAAAACAAATGGTGGATTCGTGAAGGTACAAGTTTAAGCCATTTTTTGGACAGGTAACATACAGAAAAGCCCAGAAAGACACACAGCAAAGTTGGGGAGTTTGACAATGATGGGACAGTTTCAGACAGTCTCCTGATGTGATGAGGCCTCTCATACATGACTGAAGCAGGAAAACTGTCACCACCAACTAGCTTCTGTACAAGCTGTTCCACGAATTTTACCACAACTTGCAGCTCTTCTTGGACATTAAGAATCCTCACATTGGATCTATTCCTGGACTTATTCAGATAAAGCTGAGAGAGATGTTTTGATCTTGCTGTCTTCTTTTGTCGATATGTCTGTACGGCTCTACTTTGCTCCTGTGGATAGGCTGCAGTAACTTGCCATCTGCCTCCTTGGGAGTTAGCTTGGTGTCCACCTGGTTGCAGGTTGATTTTTTTCACCTCTCGTTTGAACATATCAGTACTTGATTATAACATTTGTATGTACACACAAATATAATATAATATGCATAAATAAAAAATAAATAACTTTTATAAACTTGGTGTCTTGTGCAAAGTGGACAGTAAAACTGAATAAAAGCACAAATACAAATAAATAAATAAATACAACTGTAGAGTATATGTCTTGAAATGGTATGAAATGTTGTTTTGTTTGTGTGTGTGTGTGTGTGTGTGTGTGTGTGTGTGTGTGTGGTTATGTATATAAGATTGTAGTGTATGAATCATATTTCATTCTGCATAGATGTCTTCTAAGGAGAGGAGGTACAGCTGTCAAGTATCCCATTTTGGCTGGGAAACTACCATATTTTACCCCTCTTCCCTGCAGTCTTCCCGTATTAGTATTGTCCCCATCTCCCATATCTCCCATAAATCTCCCATATACATATATATATATATATATATATATATATATATATACATACATATATATATATGAGCTCTGTCACTAGTGCAAACTAAGTAACCACCAACTCGTAGTAGCACATTGTCATCTTTCCCTTATTTTCCAAACCAAAAACTTGACACAAAGAGCTGCCGGAGGATGTGAAATGCAGTGGATAACTCGCCAGTGGAATGAAAAATGGTGTTTCAAATGTTTGCTTCATGTGCCCCTTTCAGCTAATTTTGAGCACCTGCCCCTCAAAAGTTCTCTGAACAGCCCTGGTGTCCTGGCCAGTTTCTAAAATATCAGGTTGTTTGAGATACCTTCTATCTGTCCCTTTATGTAGTGCTTAGTAAAGTTAGCAGGTACTGTGATATGAGATATGAGAGTTCATGTTTGAGGCATCACCTTAAGTCTCACTTCCATTTGCAGAGTC